CTACTTCCTTGCTCGTGAGCTGCAGCAGCGTGGTCAGTTGCGACTTGCGTACGTGGCCTCTGAGGCCAACACTGCTGATGTGTTCACCAAGGCACTTGCGCCTTGTGACCATCAGCGCTTATGCACCCAGCTGGGTCTTGTGCCTGTCTTGCCTCACTTGCTCTCCTCTTGACTTCACTTGTACTGTGACATATATATATACCTGCTCTTGCTTGTCTAGCTTTATATATATGTCTGTACTCTTGCTTGTGAACTGGCCTTTGGCCTTGCTCTTGTGCTCGGACTGTGTGGTGACTTTGTGATCCACCCTGAGCTTTGCTTTGTCTTGCTTGACTGGTCTTGTGACCCCTTGTTCTCCCCCACTTTGCCTATGGGGGTGTGTCAGAACATATCTATAGCTTATAGTGCTGTGTAGGCTGTAGTGGGGTATCCCATAGGGGGTACAACCCAGTTAGGGTTTCATATTTGTACTGCTTTCATTCATAGTTGATCCTTCCCTACTTACTCATTTCACAGTAGCCTGGTCGTCAGCCCAAGAAGCGTCTGCGTGACCTGTGAGGACCACTCGACGTCGCCCTCCAAGCACTAGCCCCATGCCCGACGTACTGCACAAGTAGCGCAACACCCTCTTTGCTACAACCATGTGCTCTAGTCGGTGTCTCCCAGGAGCAACATAGAGTGCCAAGATGCTGAGAGGGTATGCTAGGTCAGGTCGTGTGCAGGTCATCACGTACATGAGGCAGCCAACAAGCTCTGGGTACGGGCCACTCGGCTCTACGGACTCATCCGAAGGGAGAGCTGAGAGCGAGTGGCGAGTAGATAGAGGAGTGGCCTGAGGCGAGGAGTACGTGAAGTCGAAGCGCTGAAGGACCTGCTGCACCATGTGTGACTGAGTCAGGGTAATGGTGCGCTGTGCTCTGTCCCGGGTGATCTGCAAGCTAAGGTAGCTGCGCAGTTCACCCAAGTCTGTGCACGTGTGTCTCTTCTGCAGCTCCGACTTCACGTGGGCGAGAGCATCAGTGTCAGCAGTGGCAAAGACCAAGTCGTCGACGTACACGAGAATGTAGAACGGCGGGAGCGACGTGTCGGTGCGCAGAAACAGCAGTCAGTGGTCAGCAGTAGAAGGCGCGAAGCCAAGAGCCGCAAGAGTAGTCCTCAGCGTGTCGTTCCACTCACGTGGCGCCTGGCGAAGACCGTAGACCGGCCACTGGAGGCTCCACTGGGTACCAGGAGGAAACGACCCAGTGAAGCCAGGAGGGCGGCGCAGCCACTTCTCCTCGTGCAGGCTGCCCTGCAGGAAAGCTGTGCTGAAGTCAAGAGAGTGAAGCTCGTAGTCGCGCTGAGCGGCTATGTGTAGCAGCACCCGAAGAGTGGTCATCTTCGGGGTGGGAGAGAAGGTCTGAAAGTAGTCAACTCCCTGCCGCTTAGTGAAGCCTCGAGCCACGTAACGCGCCTTGAAGACAGGCGGAGAACCCGGCGGCCGCTTCACCCTGAAAATCCACATGCCACTGACGATGTTCGCCCTAGGTGGGGGAACCTCGTCGACGTATGTGCCTGTGGACTTCCAGGAAGCCATCTCTTCGTCCATGGCTGACTGCCACTGAGAGGAGTAGGGACCCTTGATCGCCTCAGCGTACGATCGAGGAGTCGGGATGTCTGGTGCATCCGGGTCTCCCTCAGGGGCAATCAGCGTGGACACGAGATGAGGCAAAGCAGCAGCAAAACAATGGAACTCCTCCTGCCTGTCCTCAAGGACGTCCGTGCTAAGAGCACACTCACCCCCGATGGACAGAGGACAGACAGACTCAGACTCAGCAACGAGACAAGCGGCGTAGTCTAGACGACAGCGAGCAGCAAAGTCGACAAGCTCAGCAACTAAGGTAGACGCAGCAGTGGACTCAAAGGAAGGGTCTGTGACAGCAGTGGCTAGGAGACGCATGACAGTAGGACTGGCAGCACGAAGAGAGTCAGACTCCGGGTCAGCAAGAGCAAGAAGAGAGGACTCTGGAGGAGACAGCAACGAGACACGCAGAGGAGCAGTGGAAGGGCGCAGTGCCATCTGGTGTGTGCGTGGGACCGCAGGAGGATGCGGACGCGGAGCACGACCACTAGTGTAAGCAGCACGAGCAGACGACGCAGGACGAGACGCAGGCTCACAACGCTCAGCAAGACCTCCAGTAGGACCAATGTAGGGAGAAGGAGCAGGTAGGGGGGAGGCGGGCTATAACTGTGACCGCGACTGGACAGGCTGTGGACACTCTAAGGGAGGAGCAAGACCAGTAGAGGGCGGGAGACCAAGAACCTGCTCAAGGAGCGGAACGAAGTACGGCCTCGGCTGCGCAGTGCCTCCAGAACCAGCAAGGACAGCACCAGTACCCCCAGCGGCAGCACCAGCGCCAGCAGCACCTCCAGCTCCAACAGCGCCAACTCCAGCACCCTCACAAGCACCAGCGCCAACACCCCCAGCAGCTCTAGCTCCAGCAGCACCAACTCCTGCAGGACCGTCAGCTCCAGCACCGCCAGCAGCTGCAGTAGTACCTCCAGCAGGACTAACGCCAGCAGGCCCAGCAGCACCCCCAGTCCCAGCAGCTCTAGTACCGCCAGTACGAGAACCTCCAGGACCAGCGGCAACAGTAGTACCTCCAGCTCCAGCAGCACGGCTCCAGCGCCGGGCAAACGACTCGCGCAACTCCTACGGAGAGAGTAGCTCTCACCTCGACGAAGCACCGCCGAAGGCCACACGAGCAGACCCAACACCCCCAAGTTCCGCACCCCCAGGCTCCAAACCCCAAGGCTCAGCACCCCCAGGCTCAGCACCCCCAGGCTTGGCACCCCCAGGCTCAACACCCCCAAACCCGGCACCCGCAGGCTTAGCACCCCTAGACTCAGCACCCCCAAGCTCCGTACCCCTACGCTCAGCACCCTCAGACCCGGCACCCGCAAGCTCAGCACCCCTAGCAACACCAGAGTCATCAGCTACCTCGACAGGCTCGACTGCGTCTACCTGGGACACACCTGACGGAGCAGGACCCTGAGGGGGGAGAGGGACTATAGGGACTATAGGGGGAGGACCTGGCGCAAGGAAGAGTGGCGGCGGGGGGAGGGGCGCAGTGCGGTAGGGGAAGAGACGGTAGTAAGGCACCGACTTGTCAAAGGTGACGTCCTGGGAGGACAGAACACGGCGCGAGTTGGGGTGGTAAAACTGCCAACCAGGCGCGTCAGGGGGGAAGCTAAGAAAGATGCAGGGAACAGCACGGGGGGACAGCTTGTCCGCAGACAAGTCGCGGACAAACACCTGAGATCCCCAGACACGAAACGCAGACGCATCGCCAACCTTCCCCGTTCACCGCAAGGTGGGGGAGGTCTCTTGCAAGGAGACCCGGGGCTGAAGGTTGAGCTGATGCGCTGCATACTGATTTGCAAACGGCCACAGAAAATGGGGAGCAGCCGCATAGATCAGGGACGTACGAGCGACGTCCATGACCATGCCAATGCGGCGCTCAGCAATCCCATTTTTCTGTGGAGAGGCCGGAAGCTTGAAGTTTTGGCGGATGCCCTGTGCACGACAGAAGGCTCCCAGACGGGCAGAGGAAAACTCCCCGCCTTTGTCAGAGTGCAGACGCAGAACAGGAAAGTCCGAGTCGAAACTGTCTCTGAGCTGGAGACGAGCTGCGCGGATCCAGTTGATCAACACCTCAGTGACGTCACCCTTGCTGCGCAAGGGGAACACAGTGGTGTAACGCAAGTAGTCGTCAACCACCAACAGGAAGTAACGCTCGTGACCCTGGCCACGGACGCGGGCGGGGCCCCACATGTCCATGTGAAGAGTCTGCAGGGGAGCCTCTATCGGAGGAAACTCGGAGGACTGAGGGGCGGCGCGCTGCCGCCCCTCGACGCAGGGAACGCAGGTAGGGGCAGGCCCCAGAGGGAGGGGAGGGAGGGACCGGGGGAGACCCGAGACAAGGACACGGGAGGCCATGCCTTGGAGACGAGGTAGAGAGGGGTGACCAAGGCGGTGGTGCCAACGGAGAGTCTGGTGGGACAGGAGACGACACGAGCAGGGAGCAGACTCAGGACCAGACCTGGACGCTGCAGCAAACACCTGACTCGACGCAGCTACCTGACCAGACACAGCAACCGGAGGAGACTCAGTAGTTAGTGTGTACAGGCTCGACCCCGGCCGACGGGTAAACGTGGCCAAGTGTCAGCCCGTCCAAGCACACGTACAGTGGGTCACCCGCTGACTCGCAGGAGTGAACTGGTCAACCCCCCGATCCTGTAGATCAGCACCACTCACCAAGTTCGTAGAGAACGAGGGGAGGTAGAGACCTGACAGGGTGCCAGAGGTGGCTGCCAGACACGATAAGACAGTGGAGAAGCTAGCAAGGACAGGACCCCCAGAGGGGTCCGCCAGGGAGACCGCAACCGGCTGACTAAGCGGCGTATGCGTGGTGCGGTCTCGAAAGAAGGAGCGGGAAGCACCCGAGTCAAGGGTGAAGTGTGTAAGGCCTGAGCCGACGTGGTTCCTAAGGGAGCAGACTCACCAGCACCTGGGGCAGCAGACGCACTAGCACCTAGAGCAGCAGCCTCACCAGCACCTAGAGCAGCAGCCTCAATGTCCGGGTCAGGCGGAACACACAGGTAACAGTCACCCTCATCACTAGTAGGCAATGCATACATGGTAGTGAGGATAGCATCATAGTCAAGAGTATAGATATAAGCAGCTCCACCCAGTCGTGGAGCTCAGCCGCGTCGCCAAACTCCGTACGCCAAGCGTCGCTCAGACGGGCGAAGCAGCGGGACTCTGCGTGACCAAATGTTCGGCAAGGCTGACCAGTACGAGCACAAGTGTGAATGACGTACAGACAGCGAGCAGTATCCCGTGACCCGTCACGCTGAGCGTACCACTCACGAAGCTGCTGGGGCGAAAGGACCGCTTACGGACGACGCTGCAGCTGCACCTGGCCACTACAAGCAGCTGCCGAACTACTCACTCCCGGATGACTCCCACTACGGCCACCCCGACAACCCCAAGTAGCGTACCACTCACGAAGTTGCTGGGGCGTGAGAGACTCACGCGGAGGTCGCTGGAGCTGCATCTGGCCACCGCCAGGAGCAGCAGGAGCAGTGGTAGCCGCAGTAGCAATAGCAGTAGTCGCAGCGCGGCAACCCCTATAACCCCAACTAGCGTACCACTCACGAAGTTGTTGGGGGGTGAGGGACTCACGCGGACGACGCTGGAGCTGCATCTGGCCACGCCAGGAGCAGAAGTGGCAGTAGAAAGAGCAGTAGCAGCAAGAGCAGCAGTAACAGCAGTACGGGCAGGGCAGTGCTCACCAGTGGCGAGAAGGGCAGGCGTACGATGGCGGCAACGGCGAGGCCGTTACCACTATAGGGCGAGGACTCCGCGGCAGTTGCAGGGGCGGCTGCTCCAGGGGCGGGAGTTGTAGGGGCGGCTGCTCCAGGGGCGGCTGCTCTAGGGGCGGCTGCTACAGGGGCGGCTGCTCCAGGGGCGGCTGCTGCAGGGGTGGCTGCTCCAGGGGCGGATGCTGCAGTGGCCGCTGCTGCAAGGGTGGCTGCTCCAGGGGCGGCAGCTGCAGTGGCGGCTGCTCCAGGGGCGGCTGCTGCAGGGGCGGCTGCTGCAGGGGATGCTGCTCCAGGGGCGGCTGCTGCAGTGGCGGCTGCTCTAGGGGCGGCTGCTGCAGGGGCGGCTGCTCCAGGGGCGGCTGCTGCAGGGGCGGCTGCTCCAGGGGCGGCTGCTGTAGGGGTGGCTGCTCCAGGGGCGGCTGCTGCAAGGGCGGCTGCTCCAGGGGCGGCTGCTGCAGGGGTGGCTGCTCCAGGGGCGGTTGCTGCAATGGCGGCTGCTCCAGGGGCGGCTGCTGCAGGGGTGGCTGCTCCAGGGGCGGCTACTGCAGGGGCGGCTGCTCCAGGGGCGGCTGCTGTAGTGGCGGCTGCTCCAGGGGCGGCTGCTGTAGGGGTGGCTGCTCCAGGGGCGGCTGCTGCAGGGGCGGCTGCTCCAGGGGCGGCTGCTGCAGGGGTGGCTGCTCCAGGGGCGGTTGCTGCAATGGCGGCTGCTCCAGGGGCGGCTGCTGCAAGGGCGGCTGCTCCAGGGGCGGTTGCTGCAATGGCGGCTGCTCCAGGGGCGGCTGCTGCAGGGGTGGCTGCTCCAGGGGCGGCTACTGCAGGGGCGGCTGCTCCAGGGGCGGCTGCTGTAGTGGCGGCTGCTCCAGGGGCGGCTGCTGTAGGGGTGGCTGCTCCAGGGGCGGCTGCTGCAGGGGCGGCTGCTCCAGGGGCGGCTGCTGCAGGGGTGGCTGCTCCAGGGGCGGTTGCTGCAATGGTGGCTGCTCCAGGGGCGGCTGCTGCAGGGGTGGCTGCTCCAGGGGCGGCTGCTGCAGTGGCGGCTGCTCCAGGGGCGGCTGCTGCAGGGGCGGCTGCTCCAGGGGCGGCTACTGCAGGGGTGGCTACTCCAGGGGCGGCTGCTGCAGTGGCGGCTGTTCCTGGGGCGGCTGCTTCAGGGGCGGCTGCTCCAGGGGCGGCTGCTCCAGGGGTGGCTGCTGCAGGGGAGGTTGCTCCAGAGGCGGCTGCTGTAGTGGCAGCTGCTCGAGGGGCGACTGCTGCAGGGGCGGCTGCTCCAGGGGCGGCTGCTGCAGTGGCGGCTGCTCAAGGGGCGGCTGCTGCAGGGGTGGCTGCTCCAGGGGCGGCTGTTGCAGGGGCGGCTGCTACAGGGGCGGCTGCTCCAGGGGCGGCTACTGCAGGGGAGGCTGCTCCAGGGGCGGCTGCTGCGGTGGCGGCTGCTTCTGGGGCGGCTGCTTTAGGGGCGGCTGCTGCAGGGGAGGCTGCTCCAGGGGCGGCTGCTGCAGTGGCGGCTGCTGCAGGGGCGGCTGCTGCAGGGGCGGCTGCTCCAGGGGCGGCTGCTGCAGTGGCGGCTGCTCCAGGGGCGGCTGCTGCAGTGGCGGCTGCTCCAGGGGCGGCTGCTGCAGTGGCGGCTGCTCCAGGTTCCGGTTAGGGCAGGGCGCCGCGGCGGGCAGGGGTGACGTCACGCGGGTCCCGCAGGGGCGTCGCGACGCACAGGAGCCGCGCCTCGCGGGTCCCGCAGGGGCGACGCGACGAGGCGGGGGCAACGCGGCGGGGCCGCGACTGGCGACAGGGTGAGGCCGCAAAGGGGCCGCGAAGGGAGCTGTGAGGGGGCTACGAGGGGGCCGAGAAGGGGCCGCGAAGGGAGCCGTGAGGGGGGCCGCGAGGGGGGGCCGTGAAGGGGCCGCGAAGGGGCTGTGAAGGGGCCGCGAAGGGGCCGCGAAGGGAGGCCGCGAAGGGGCCACGAGGGGCCTGAAGGGGCCGCAAAGGGCCGTGAGAGGCCGTGAGAGGGGCCGCTACGGGGTCGTAGGGGAGCGCGACGGGCCACTAAGGGCAGGGGACGCGATGGGAGGGTAGGCACACGGGGCGCGACTCGGGCAGGGGCGAAGCGCGCTCCGGGCAGGAAAAAAAATCGATATTCGGTGGGCCCTAGGAAACGTTCCCACCAGGGGACGTGCTCTATAGCATGTGAAAGAACGAGGAATGAATGAACTAACAAGGAGGTGGGTACAAGTAGGAAAACCTAAAAGTGTTGTACCCCATATTGTCTACCCCACTACTGCCTACACAGACTATAGCATCTGAGTTTGACATCGCTTGCGGACACGTGGGTCACCAACCTCGGCCTCGCACTGCTTCGCAGAGAAGAGTGTCATCCACTGACGTCGTCATGCGGGCTGTCTGCGACCACTGTCGACCGCAGCCCTCGCGCCTACATCTAGTCGACGCTGATATCGGCTGTGAAGAACGAGGAATGATTGACTAAGGAATGAGTGTGATACAAATATGAAACCCTAGAATTGTGTACCCCTTAGTATCTAACCCGCTACAGCCTACACAGGCTAGATCATATAAGTCTGATACACCCCCATAGGCAAAGTGGGGGAGAACAAGGGGTCACAAGACCAGTCAAGCAAAGCAAGGCAAAGCAAGTTCAGGGTGGATCACAACGTCACCACACATTCCGAGCACAAGTTCAAGGCCACAAGGCCAGTTCACATGCAAGACCATATATAAAGGTAAACAAGCAAGTGCAGGTATAGATAGATCACAGTACAAGCAAGGTCAAGAAGTGAGCAAGTGAGGCCAAGTAGGCACAAGACCTAGCATCGTACAAAAGTGCTGATGATCACAAGGCGGAAGTGCCTTGGTAAAGATATCAGCAGTGTTGGCCTAAGAGGCCACGTAAGCAAGGCGCAGCTGACCACGCTACTGCAGCTCACGAGCAAGGAAGTAGCGAAGAGCAATGTGCTTCGTTCTGTGCTCCAGTCTGTGCTCCCGACACAAGGCCAGCATGGCCTTGTTGTCTATGCACAGAACTGGAGGAGAACGAGGCGGCTCTCCTAGGTCAGTTAGCAGGTAGGTGAGCCAGCGTAGCTCTTGTGCAGCCATGGCCCCCGCGTAGATCTCAGCCTCACATCCGGAGCCGAGAACAGAAGACGAGCGGGTAGACCGCCATGAAACAGAGCCGGAACCAAGGCTGAAGGAGTAACCCTGTGACGACCGCTGCGTAGCCTGGTCGTCAGCCCAAGAAGCGTCTGCGTGACCTGTGAGGACCACTGAACGCCGCCCTCCAAGCACTAGCCCCATGCCGGACGTACTGCACAAGTAGCGCAACACCTACTTCGTTGCAGCCATGTGCTCTGGTCGGTGTCTCCCACGAGCAACATAGCGTGCCGAGATGGTAAGAGGGTATGCAAGGTCAGGTCGAGTGCAGGTCATCACGTACATGAGGGAGCCAACAAGCTCTGGGTACGGGCCACTCGGCTCTACGGACTCATCCGAAGGCAGAGCTGAGAGCGAGTGGCGAGTAGACAGAGGAGTGGCCTGAGGCGAGGAGTACGTGAAGTCGAAGCGCTGAAGGACCTGCTGCACCATGTGTGAGTGAGTCAGGGTAATGGTGCGCTGTGCTCTGTCCCGGGTGATCTGCAAGCTAAGGTAGCTGCGCAGTTCACCCAAGTCTGTCCACGTGTGTCTCTTCTGCAGCTCCGACTTCACGTGGGCGAGAACATCAGTGTCAGCAGTGGCAAAGACCAAGTCGTCAACGTACACGAGAATGTAGAACGGCGGCAGCGACGTGTCGGTGCGCAGAAACAGCAGTCAGTGGTCAGTAGTAGAAGGCGCGAAGCCAAGAGCCGCGAGAGTAGTTCCACTCACGTGGCGCCTGGCGAAGACCGTAGACCGGCCACCGGATGCTCCACTGGGTACTAGGAGGAAACGACCCAGTGAAGCCAGGAGGGCGGCGCAGCCAGTTCTCCTCGTGCAGGCTGCCCTGCAGGAAAGTTGTGCTGAAGTCAAGAGAGTGAAGCTCGTAGTCGCGCTGAGCGGCTATGTGTAGCAGCACCCGAAGAGTGGTCATCTTCGGGGTGGGAGAGAAGGTCTGAAAGTAGTCAACTCCCTGCCGCTTACTGAAGCCTCGAGCCACGTAACGCGCCTTGAAGACAGGCGGAGAACCCGGCGGCCGCTTCACCCTGAAAATCCACATGCCACTGACGATGTTCGCCCTAGGTGGGGGAACCTCGTCGACGTATGTGCCTGTGGACTTCCAGGAAGCCATCTCTTCGTCCATGGCTGACTGCCACCGAGAGGAGTAGGGACCCTCGATCGCCTCAGCGTACGATCGAGGAGTCGGGATGTCTGGTGCATCCGGGTCTCCCTCAGGGGCAATCAGCGTGGACACGAGATGAGGCAAAGCAGCAGCAAAACAATGGAACTCCTCCTGCCTGTCCTCAAGGACGTCCGTGCTAAGAACACACTCACCCCCGATGGACGGAGGACAGACAGACTCAGACTCAGCAACAAGACTAGCGGCGTAGTCTAGACGACAGCGAGCAGCAAAGTCGACAAGCTCAGCAACTAAGGCAGACGCAGCAGTGGACTCAAAAGAAGGGTCAGTGACGACAGTAGCCAGGAGACGCGTGACAGTAGGACTGGCAGCACGAAGAGAGTCAGACTCCGGGTCAGCAAGAGTAGGAAGAGAGGACTCCGGAGGAGAAGGAAACGGGACACGCAGAGGAGCAGTGGAAGGACGCAGTGCCATCTGGTGTGTGCCCGCGGACGCAGAACACGACGACTAGTACGAGCAGCACGAACAGGTGACGCAGGACAAGAAGTAGGCTCACGACGCTCAGCAAGACCTCCAGTAGGACCAGTGTAGGGAGAAGGAGCAGGCAGCGGGGAGGCGGGCTGTAACTATGACTTAGACTGGACAGGCGGCGGACACTCTAAGGAAAGAGCAGGATCAGCAGAAGGCGGGAGACGAAGAACCTGCTCAAGGAGCGGAACGAAGTACGGCCGTGGCCGCACAGCGCCTCAAGAGCCAGCAGGGACAGCACCCACACCCCCAGCGGTAGTACCAGCACCAGTAGTACCCCCAGCTGCAGCAGCGCCAGCTCCAGCACCCTCAGAAGCACCAGCGCCAGCAGCACCTCCAGCGCCAACACCCCCAGCAGCTCCAGCTCCAGCCGGACCACCGGAAGACTCGACAGCCACAGCTCCAGCACCTCCAGTAGCACCTCCTCAAGAAGCTCCACCAGCAGCTCCAACACCACCAGCAGCTCCAGCACAAGGAGCACCCCCAGGCCCAGCAGCTCCAGTACCTCCAGTACGAGCACCTCCGGAACCCGTGGCACCAACACCCTCAATAGCAACAGAACCGCCAGCGCCAGTAGCACCTCCAGTTCCAGCAGCACGGCTCCAGCGCCGAGCAAACCACTTGCGCAGCTTCTGAGGAGAGGGGAGCTCCCGCCGGGATGAAGCACCAAAGGGACCCCCAGACCCAGCACCGCCAGACTCCACACGAGTATGCCCAGCACCCTCAGGCTCCACACCCCCAAGCTCCACACCCCCAAGCTCAGCACCCCCAGGCTCAGCACCCCCAGGCTAAGCACCCCAAGACTCAGCACCCCCAGGCTCAGGACCCCCAGGCCCCGCACCCGCAGGCTCAGCACCCCGAGCAGCACCAGAGTCAACAGCTACCTCGATAGGCTCGACTGCATCAACCTGGGATACACCTGAGGGGGCAGGACCCTGAGGGGGAAGGGGGTCTACCGGGGGGGGACCTAGCGCGAGGAAGAGCCGCGGCGGGGGGAGGGGCGCAGTGCCGTAGGGGAAGAGACGGTAGTAAGGAACGACACGTCAAACGTGACGTCCTGGGAGGACAGAACACGGCGCGAGGTGGGGTGGTAAAACTGCCAACCAGGCGCGTTAGGGGGGAAGCCAAGGAAGACGCAGGGAACAGCACGGGGGGACAGCTTGTCCGAAGACAAGTCGCAGACAAAAGCCCGAGATCCCCAGACACGAAACGCAGACGCATCGCCAACCTTCCCCATCCATCGCAGAGTAGGGGAGGTCTCCGGCAAGGAGACTCGAGGCTGAAGGTTGATCTAATGTGCTGCGTACTGAACCGCGAACGGCCACAGAAAATGGGGAGCAGCCGCATGAATCATGGACGTACGAGCGACGTCCATGACCATGCCAATGCGGCGCTCAGCAATCCCATTTTGCTGTGGAGAGGCCGGAAGTGTGAACGTCTGGCGGATGCCGTGTGCACGACAGAAAGCTCCCAGAAGGCCAGAGGAAAACTTTCCGCCTCTGTCAGAGTGCAGACGCAGAACAAGAAAGTCCGAGCTGAAACTGTCTCTGAGCTGGAGATGAGCTGCGCGGATCCAGTCGATCAACACCTCAGTGACATCACCCTTGCTGCGCAAGGGGAACACCGTGGTGTAACGCGAGTAGTCGTCAACCACCAACAGGAAGTAACGCTCGTGACCCTAGCCACGGACGCGGGCGGGGCCCCACTCGTCCATGTGAAGAGTCTGCAGCGGAGCCTCTGTCGGAGGAAACTCGGAGGAGTGAGGGGCGGCGCGCTGCCGCCCCTCGACGCAGGGAACGCAGGTAGGGGCAGGCCCCGGAGGGAGGGTAGGGAGGGAC